CAGGAGTCTACACAAAGCTGGTCTGTGCATAAACTTGTTTCGGAGATTTTGTGGACTCCGAATTTTCCGCTAGATTGTGTTTGTCTAGACTGGGATCCCTTTTGAGTACAGATCTTGGAACCATATTGTCATGTTGGTATTCGGATACGGTCACTGCACTGAGCGGTAATCGTGAGCACATCTCCACTCCATTATTGTTAGAGTTTTCCATCGAATTTTCGTTCATAAGTTCCGATCTTTCGGGAGCATTTACAGTCATATCACCTTTACTTTTTCGATAAAAAGCTGGTTTTGTCAGGGATAACACTTCCAATCCTTCCTCGTGGGACAAGTGAGTAGGATCTACGATCCTCGATCCATAGATTTCAAATTTCGACTTTTGCCTGCCGTCACATCGATCAGAAACCGGCGTTTCTGGCATAAGTTTTACATCCAAGGTTGAGTAGTTAGACTTCCCATATGCAATCGGATCCCGCTGATCCTCACAACGCTCATAGTTTGGATCACCTTGTTGACCCAGAACTTCAACTTGATATCCGGGTCTGTATAAGAATTCCCGTGGAGTTGCTGCAATCGCTGAAGTCCATGATTTCACCTGGTTGTTTAGCAGATGCAAACTGGGCGTGTACATTCGGTTCACATCGGCCGTATGCGGTGATTTGGTCACTTGTCGATCTAGAGATCCTTTGGTCCACATGTACGTTTGTGTGACGGGCTAAATAAAAAACAGGGATCAAATCAAAAATATATGTAGTTGTATGTCTCAACAAGGAAGTTTGTTGAACATACTGAAGCGATTATTGTTTAACGATTTGCACCAATACTTATTTCTAACGATAAAGAATTCAGCAAACTGCCGTAAATTGGGAATAGTTAATTGTCATAAATGCGTCTTTCAGCGATAGAAACCTGAGAGGAATTATGCAACCGTTTTGTTCATTGATAGAAAATTTGAAGATGAAATGATCAAAAGGTATTATATGAGGGTTTTTTTCTTTATCATAAATTTAAGTGATCACATTCACCAGAATAAATCTGTTAGCTGAGCAAAAAGCGCTTGGGAAATAAAGTTAATTTATTTGAAAGTCGACATGTACAAAAGGTTTGGTAACATTTCAATCATATTTGATTGATTAGAAAATTTGTTTATTGGGTTATCTGTAGAGGCCACGCATCACAATCCGCATGTAGTGCTTTACATGGGGTATTGCAAATCGATCTAATGTGTGTCTGTGTTTGTGTATCTGTTTTCGCATCAATCCAATCCGTTTCGTAAGTTCTTGTGGAATGGAATGATTCTTTTCGGCACAGAACTTAGTGGTCCACATGAAGACAAATTGAACACTCAGGGGAAAAAGCATAGCATGCAAATAGGGTTCAGTGAACTTAGTAACTTCGGTATACATCATTTGGAACGTTCAATACAAGAATGTTTTTCTGCTTCCATAAATTATCGATAAACAGCGGATAATTAAAATAACTTGTAATAGATGGGATAGGTTGGGTCGAAGGGAAATCAGACCCCCATTTTTCATGATCTTCCTTTCTAACAAGAGTAATCATGGCTAAGCCGCCAAAAGATAAAGATTAATATTTATCACCAAACAGGGAATCTCATGGATGTAGTTTCTTCCACAGCTGAGTTGAGTGGGTGGTGTTTGCACTGCATGCTGCCCGTTAATTCAGCATATTTCCAGATCGGTTCCAAGGAACAATGCAAACATGAGACACGTTAAAGAGGAAATGAGCGAATTGAACTCAAGGTGAACGACAGCGAGGGTACTTTGTTGAAGCAATGCACGATGTAATTAATGGTGGTCGAAATTGTAAAAATATACTAATTACGGCTCACTGATAACCCGTTATCCGGAAGTGTGGAAAGAAAGAATACAGCACCGGGGAAATAAAAGATTACAGCAAGATGTAAGCAAGGGAAAGCATTTGCTTCGGAGGATGCGATTGGCCTATACCCATTGGATGCACCGGATTAATTTACTTTTGTTAATCCTCTAATCGCCGTGGTTTCTTTACTGAGTAGAAACCTCTTGTGTACTCGGTCAGTGTGAGGCATTAGAGCTGGCAGTCACCGTGTAACACATCCCGTAATTATTTCTTGGTAGACTTTCAAACAAGTGCTGCATAAGTGTATCGTTGATTTCCTGACTCATGTTTTCTCTGCTTATGGGATTTTAGACCGAAGTGTAACCCAAATTTATCTGCGTTTATTTATTCTCGCGTTATACTGGATCGAATTGAACACTAACCTCTTCGGTGTCCACCTAATCAATGATGAACCCTTTCATCGGGTTCGGTGTTTCATCCGGCCAGTGATACTCGTTACATCACACACAGCAAGAAGGTTGTTTGTATGATTCGAACCCTGACTTTTGAAACACTTTCGCCGTTCAAGTATGATTTCTCAAATGAGGTAGCGAATGAAATCGATAAAACAGTTAGTTGTCGCATAGTTGATGTTAAGCTTGTTACATGTCTGCATGTGAAAAGGAAACACTAACAAATCTATGCATTTATAGGTTTACCACATTTAGGAAATGGTAATGACTTTTCAGGATTGCAAACGGCAATAATAGAAACTGAATCACGTGGTAAGCGGCTCCATTTCCCTAAGCTCATTAATCTTGTTAATTAGCTCGCACATGTTTTATTCCCAACCGATATGATATCTTCAGTGTAATCGCTTTGTGGTAGGTAGGGGAGGGGTGGTAGAATCAACAGGCATTCATCTCTCCAGGTTACTTGTTATTAAATGCGGAGCAAATTCATCAAGCCCATGTAACATTCTGTTTCTTGAACAAGTGATCAGTTTTAGATGCCCAACAAACAGGGGCGAGTTCTGCCAAGCTTGCAATCCAAATGACAAGATTGTCAAATTAAACTTACATGTGAATGGGTTAGAATGACGGAACAAATTACTTTAAATCAAACATGATATTTAGAACCAGGATTCTTAACGTCTGCATAGTGTTTCTTCGTCTGATTGCTAAGTGTCTACCAAAACATGATACCTGAAGAACGAATTCCAAAGCAGGCCCATTAATGTAAGGCAACACATGTTCGAAGGCCAGAGAAAAGATTTGATAATCAAAATAAAAAACCTCAAAGTTCGTCTTACTTCAGAAAGTAGGAAAAACAGTACATCGACCTTTTCCGATGTCATACTGGCTGAATTAACAGATGGTCTAAGTGACAGAAGGGTTCAACAAAAGCAGCCACGGAGTTTCATGTTCCTCAAACCAACAAGAAATCTCTTTTGGTGCGCTTGTAAAGTTTGTGCTAAATGCATCATGGCGGATAAAATCAGACACATTCTCAAGTAAGGTGTGTACCAAAACTGATTTGTCAATACTGGCTCAGGGGAATTTCTAACATCAAAACCCAGTAAAAAAACTCATTTTTTTCTTTTGTTGTTATTCTTCGTTAAAGAACGGTCAAGTGGCTAAGTTGTTGTATTACAGCCCTTTCGCATACGCCTTTCTGAAAGTTTTATCCCTATATATTCAATAAAAGAATTTAATAAAAAGAAAAGCGATTGACGCACTCCGTGAGAGAACCTTTTAATTAAACGAAACGGGTAAGTAATTTCCACTACTTCCTCATCAGTTTGCACATTCAATAAAGGCATGATGCTTAACGTGTTTCATCTGTGTTTAGATACTCATTTCATCATTCAGTAACTGCACGATGAGGTAGCTGTCTCAAAGGATCCCAGAGGCTCATCCATGCTGGTTCCCAAACAGTGAAATAGGTTTTTTTAGGAAGTTCAAAGTTTGATCTTGTAACTAATTTTATTCTTTCAGTGAACACAGAGCGAGTCTTTCAGTGCCTTTTGCCTTTGGGTGTAAACGATCAAAGAAGCGGCAATCATTAATTAGTTCTTGCTTGACCAAATGCCCAAAAGTAGTTATTTTAGGCATTATAAATACCAGTGTAACGAATCAGTTACATGAGCAATACTCCAAGTTCCACACAACACCTTGGTTGGGGGTATAGAGGAGGGTGTGGATAAATAAAGTGAATTAAGGAAAATCAACGTATAAAGTGTTTGGAATACTTTGTTTCTTTCACATTACTGGAGAAACTCTGTTCAAGTATGCTTTTATGTAAGTAGGATAATTGGAATACTTCAGTTATTCGATGGGATTTTATGCCGTTATTGAGCATATCCGAAAGAGAAATATACAACTACCTTCTGGAAAGGGTCATTCAGCTCACTGATTTGTGAATCACTGATACAAAAACCTTCCATCATGTATTGTCTTTATCAATTAGGCAAAAAGTTATACTTTTTCCGCTCGTGTTGCATTTTTTGCCACTTACCCTCTCGAGTTCCTCCTACCGATCGACGGTCGTATACCTGACACAAGATATTCATCACAGCATGATTGGATAATTCAATTCCACTAAGGCCTGAGCATCATCTTCATTCCAAGTGACATAATTAGATCTATTTTGTCATAAGAAAACACAGTCCGGTATAGAATCAGCCTAAGTGTGATCCCACGGGGTTTAGGAGTAACTACACAGCCAGCCAGCCACCCTGCCTGCCCCCCCTTTAGCCGACCGGCTAGTCAGATTATCCGTACATCAGTTCGACCCAACTAGTGATGGCCAGTGATGATTATCAGTACGAGCGAAGAAAGCTAATTATGGAGAAATCTTTAAAGCGTACCGGACGCGGTTGACAGTGAAACTAACTCAGTGAGCTTACTCGGAACCTGTCCGTCGAAGTGGAAGTCTGATAACTGGACGGCGACTGACTTGTGGCAAAACAAATTCGATGCGCATCTCCTCGTTGTCCAGACAGCATCGAGTTCTCTCCATCCTCATCGTCTCGCGGTTTGGCATTGAAATCTTGAAAGAAGACGACAGATATGACAATTCAATCAATTTGAGATTAGACACTCTGGTCACCTTTCAGAAGCTGCACACATGAATATCAGAGAGTTGATGAAATTCACACGACTTAGTTTAAAGAACTCCAATGAAATATGTGAGTAGTTTACAGAAAATTAAGTACATAATTAGGATGGTGGGCATTTTGTACACGGATACTTCAGTTTCTGTTGACCCCCAAGGCAATTATTTACTAAAAGTTCAAAGTATGTATATCAGTTTTATTACAACAGATATAATGATTAAACAGAAGTTACAGATCCGAAATGAAGATCGATAAGTAGTTTAAAAGCAGCAGTGAAAAATTGATATTTTGACTAGGATTTGGAGAATATGACTACTTTGAGATCTTGAAAATACAAGGGCACCTTTATATATATATAATGCATGGTTTACATGTTTTTTCGTCAGGTCCAAAGTTAAGCACTGACTGACGTGAAACGAAAAATGTTTCCGTTAAAATAATTTCTACAACAATTCAGATGAAATTTGGTCAGTCTAATCAGTGCTCAACACTCCTATAAATAAAGAATCCAAGAAAGAGATGTGGGTGAGTGAAGGTACTTGTACAGTAGGACACGATGAGTTCATGTCCATTGATTGCACCATTACAAAATGTGTACTAAGCAGCCACAGGTGTGTTTTATGTACGAAGATATTCTCATGTGGGAAATTATGGCTCATAATCGATTTTCAGGAATCACGGGGAAAGAAATTCGTTCAATTTTTCAACTCAAGATTCAGCTGCTTTTAACTTTCCGTCGAGGATTGTCATCTGGGACTGTTCATGAGCAAACGTGGCAAACTCAGACCAGGACAAATTTGAGCTACTTGATGATAAAACAATAGGAAATCAGTCTACTCTGCAGGCAGAAGAGAGTGATTTGCAGTTCCTCTATTGATATTAAAAAGCTGAATGCTCCATTTATTTATTGTTCGCCTGACACATACCCCAGTTACGTTGATTCCAGTTCTCCAAACTTCCAACCTTCGTTTGATCCTATCACTTCTAGTGAGAGGTATAAAAACAGGTGTTCTCTCAAGGTGTCGACCGCACCTGGTCCAGACAACTTGAGTCGCACTCTTCTTAAACAGAGTGCTCTGCCACTGTCTCACAATTTTGCACACATAGCTAATCTTTCACTCGAACTCCGAACTATTCCAGACTGCGGGCGTCCAGTGAGAATTACTCCCATCCCAAAAGGAACGTCAAAGGCCCTAAGAGCAAAGCGTTTTAGACCAATTGCTCTCACTTCCACTGGTTTGAAATTGATGGAGTGATCAGTTCTACACCGTCTTCGGTTATCCCTCACCACCCCCGATGACACTTATCAGTTTGCATACAAACATAACCGCTCCACATTAGATGCCATTTCTTCTCTAGTTCATTTCATCTGTAAGTTTCTTAACGAGAAAGCCAAGTGTGTGCATTGTGCATTTCTGGGCTATTCTTCCGCTTTCGACTCGGTGTCCCATTTCTCTCTTACTCAACAAGCTGCAGTCTTTTGGCTGTCCGGCTTCTCTTCTTGAATGGCTTGCTGATTATTTTTCTCAAAGATATCAGTATGTTAAATTGGGAAGAAGACAGTCAACCGCATCATTCAATAGCTCGGGTTTACTTGAAGGTGCTGTCCTATCACCCTATCTTTTCTACTTATATCAGTGACTTACCTGTTACTCCTCCTGTTCGACATTTTAAGTATTCTGATGATATCGCCATTTCTGTTTCCGTATCTAAACAATCAGAACTGGTTGAATATAACACAAACCTATCCCACCTCGTTTCATATTCCTTTTCTTCCGATCTTAATCCTGAAAAATGCCTTGAATGTATTTTTACTCTAATCCGTACCCCATCTCCCTCCGACAATGTCTAGATTCATGGAAAGCCGATGAGCAGGGTCAGTGATAGGAAGCACAGGTGTCACACTTGAAAGTAACCTTCGCTGGTCCTTACATACCCAAAGTGTTGCTCGCAAGTTGAAAAGTCTCTCTTTTCAGATAAGAAGATTGCGACACTTCTATTTTGACTCGTCGGTGATAAAAACTTTCGTTCAACGATGTGTCCTTCCTATACTGCTTTTTGGTTTGCTGAAGGCTGATTTCAAGTATATGAGACATGACCTCTCAATTATCAGCCGTGTCTCCCAAGTTCCGTTATCTGTTCTGATTGGCAATATGTGTAATGCCCATATTGATGCGTGCTTNNNNCTTGAAGTTAGCCGACAATATCCCATCTGATTGCACCCATCCTCTACACATTGACTTGTGTGCATGCAAATTCCACCCCTCCACCAGTTCTAAATCCAAACTTATTCCGTCTCGTATATCCGCATACAGAAACTCTTTGGTACCCTATCTTGCCCGGAAACTGACTGACAAAGAAAGTATTCGTTCTGAGCTTAATAATGCATTTGGTAATCAACTCATATTTCGGTACGTTTCACATCCCACTTTTTCATCTGTTTTTACCAGAATTGTGACGGTGGTCTATTTTTAGCTAAAAGCTTGTGTATAATTTTCTAAAGCTTGAATACAATACAATACAAAGTCTGGCCACTATTTGCGGCCATTAGACATATTTCTGATGAGAAATTTACTGGACTCTGTCGGACTATCCTTTAGGTTTCATGGTCATGCACAATCCTCAGGTAATCCAGACTGTGTGTGAATGACTATCTGGATAAAACTCATCTGAGTAAACCCGAATGGGAATTGTTTGTCAGCTCTTATTGACCTGAAGGTAGTACACTTAACCTTCATGCGAAGTATCGGGAGGTCGGGGATTGGATTGGTCGGAGGATATGCACCAGTGATGGGATTTACCGAAAACAAATAGAGTAGGGTGCTTTTCCGACGTACAGATCAATCAATGGACTGAGAGTTGCGCATGAAGACGAATCCTGATCGATTGTCAGTCAACGTATAAAACCATTATCCTGTAACAGTGCTCGGAATGTTATTCAACCCACATTGAACTTTTAATATAATTGTTTGACGTATAGCGAAGAGAAAATGTTTAATCCCAATGGTCCCAATGAACTTATGTGCTGCTTTCATGATCTACTTGAACGCAAATAAACTTTTAATCGACCAATCTACGGCGAAGATTTGTCACGGTTTGGTTTGCTACGTTTGCAGATGAACAGATCTAGGTGACAATTCTTGAAGGAACCATGATTTCGAACGCATTATTGTCTCCGTGCCCAGAACTCACCTGCAGTTGGTCAGCCTACCTGCAGTATTTGAATCTCATTGGATGATAATAGTGTGCACTGAGGAGGCGGGTTCACGCGCAGGGAAACGTATTTCACACTATCCGAGAGTTAAAGACAGTTATTCTGAATTTCAGATGATGTGGAACGTGATATGCTGTATGCTCAAGTGTTGTATTCGATCATAAACAATAAAAGTTGGCATGTTTTTCAAAACTACTTGAAGATTTTCTTCACGTTCCTTGGATGGAATTACTAGGATTTCCCACAAACAAGGGCAACGGCAATTGGACAATGCAGTTTAGTAAGGTTAATCGAAATCCGCTTGGTTTCCATACGGTATGAAGATAATAACACGCTTGGTCAATCTGGGAGGTTTGGTCACCTATAATTTGCGGAAAAACTGAGTGGGGTTTAGTAACATTTTGTGAACCATACTACCTCCTGGTATGACGTAATTGGAATCACATTAAGGTGTGCAATACTTTTATGGGTCCATAACAGATCAAATCAGAGCACAAAGAATATCGTGATAAGTAGAACCAGGGTCGTTATTGAATAAAGGACCAGGTAGAACACGTCAGCTAGTTAACGTCGATGTACTTCACAAACTAAACACAAGCTGAATTAGTAGTATTCATTGTACGTCGAGAAAGAGTGCATGAAAAGATTGAATCATCGAACGGAATGTGTGGAAAGCTACCTATCTCACACCCTAAACGATTTTTTATTAACTTATTCAGTAGTTTTAAATTGTTGAAACAAAAAATCCTTTTGCAGATTGGTGGATGATTGCAAGTAATTCAACAGTAGAGACATTCAACAGTTGATATAGAGGTCCATCCTGAAACCTAAAATGGATTTTAGAGTACCGCCTTTTGTATTTTTTTCACAAACTTTTGAAGTGAAAGTGCTTCTTACCGGCTGAATTATTCTGGCCATTTGGTGTGGCTTTTCTCAATGCGAACACTACGCCTAAAAGCAAAAGACACAGCAAACCAGACACGGCAACCAGGATGGCTACGATGGTGACTGTTGCGCTGGACGCCAGAGGTTTCTGTCCACGGGGATCTCGTTTCGGGACATCTTGAAAAGTTTGTCTCTGATCGTTTGCTTTTGGCTTACGCTCGGCCCCTCCATGCTGTTTGGTGAGTACGGTCGATTCAATCAGATCAGCAGCGGGTAACAGTGTCGGGTTTGAAGTGAATCTCGACGCAAGTAGTCGTTCGAATGGACGTGCTTCAGTAGCTGGTGATATGTCTTCAATAAATCGAACTCTTATTGTGTACTGACGCTTTAGGGTTTTGGTTTTGTCTACGGGTTTATCCTGCAAGGTTATGAACAAATTCATCTGACCCATTGTTGGTTGTTCCCCGGTTGTTTTGCACAGAAGTGAATTGTCCAAACGAAACTCAAAAAAGTTATTGTTCTCCAAGAGGACTTCAATTTCCCCATTTGGACCTTCGTCATCGTCCACAAACTCATAGGGGAATTCGATACACGGACTGCTTGTTTCGTTTGTGCTCAATCGGAATGTCAAATCGATCACCGAGGGTGCGAGTTCTCGAGTCAGTAACCGGGCCAGTGTCGGTGGTACTCGTCTGACGAGGATCGGGACATTGTCATTCTCATCCTCTACCGTGACGGTTACACTAACTTCATCAAAAAATGTCGGACCTTTCTCGGTTTGTATTGTTTGTTTTCCACGGAAAACCTCTTCCACCGGTTGCTCGTTGCGTGCCAGAACAATGAACGAAATCTGACTAGTCACTTCACGATCCAATACCTGCCGTGTGCGTACATATCCAGTGTGGCTGCAAATTAAAATCAGAACAACCACATATGAATATCAGCCGTTTTTAGAACCATTAGTGAATGAAAATATATTGGTGACGTTTGCACATTCATAGGACAAAACTTTAAAATATTTTTTGTATAAACATAAAACCTTTTGGTTTATTCAAAATTATTATTAAAAGTAAGGTGATGATCACGATACTGCTTAGAATAGTTTCTTTGCAGCGTTTTGCCTGTCTTGGACGCATCATGGTCTACACGATTTCACGCTTCTATGAGTTTGTAAAACCGTATTTGCCTTGGGGAATATCGATTTGGCGTTATTGTCCCATCGGTTAATTATCCCGGTGACAAAATATCCCCGAAGTGGATGAGTGTGAACGAGTGATTCGTTTGACTAGACAAATTATTGCCCAAACCAAACGGAGTCTTTTCACGTTAATGATAATGTTGTGGAAGGTGAAAAACACTGCTCAATTCGAACTAATGTGTGGACGCACAGGAATGTGCTAATGGATTACCAAGGCAGAACAGTAAAAGAAATAACGCGAGTATCGTGCACTAGTCCGAGCTTGATGTCTGCTAGGTTGAAAAGTTCAACTGACTGTTCATTCAACCGCACATGGCTATTTGTCCGAATATGATACCAGGTGCTACTTTGAGATATGGTAAAGCTGTTTACAGGAACAAAGATTTAGCTGGATGGATCAGTGTGGGCTAAGGAGAGAATATTTCAAAGTTATACGATACCCAAATCGAGAAAACTCGGGATTGTATTTATTCTGAAAATTTGTGAAAAATTCCATTGATTGGTTTCGTGCTGTTTTGGTGTGAAAATGTAATAAGTATTTCGCATTAGCCTATTCACTTGAAGAGATCACATGACATGAAAATTTCGCGTCCACAAAGTGCTCAATCCAACCGGAATCTGTCCCATTACATTGACCCAGGAATGACCAGAACTGAGATGACTACAGTCAGCACTTGTCTGTTGGATCTCAAGCAGTCAACGGGCATGCGTCCTCCAACCGATCCGTATTTACACACTTTCTATGTTCACTGTCACGAACAGTTATCAACCCTGGTCAAAGTTTGTATGCCGCAGGAGCGATTACACAGTAACGCATCAACATCTCGTGTTTATGTGCGGAAAAGATTTATGCAACCTTTAAAAATTTCATAAGAACGAGAACAAGCATAACCACAGAATAAGTTGAATTAAATTATTTCTCGTTATCTCTTCAGCTGTGTACAAAAATTCATATGAACGTTCGATCGAAATAATAACAAATCTTTGATCACCAAAAACACTCGACCACGCATAATTAATGCAAAGGTAAAAAAATGATCAGTCTCACTCAGGTTGAACACAGTGAAGGCGTGGGAGAACATGTTCATTGATTCGTACTTCGATGGCAGCCCTACCATGGTGAGGCAAGGCTACTCATTAAGTTTATTTCGTTCTTTACAGAAGTCTGGTTCGTTACGCCGAGTGGCTAAGGCCTCAACAAACCATAAAAACCACCCAGTCTTCTGTTGGCTTAAGAGATAACGCAAAACCGTTGAGTTCAATTTGTTCTACGATGATGCTTGTTATCGATCTTATTAGGTTTATGCAAGCAGTAGGCTTACATTGGCCATCGATACGTGTTTTTGTGACCTAACCTCAAATCAATCAAGTCAAGTGATTAATGGAAAAAACTGAAATTAATTATCTTCTGAAACATTTCTATGATATCGTAAGAGAAACATTTTCTAACTGTGTGATTGTCATTCTATGCACCCCTTTTTCGTAAAATATGATCTGAAGCATCAAAATTACCCCATTTGTGAAGTATATTCTTATGTTTAAATAATCGCAAGTTCTTCTGCTAAATATGAAATTGTCCAATGATTTCGCTTCAAATAAATTTATTTCGCAACTGAAAGCTTTTAGAATAGCACAGAAAGAAATCCTAAATCACACAGAATTACCCTGTGCTTTGCATTTTTTGTTCAGTTTGAACTTATCAAATTCGTTTACATTGCGGATCATAACTTTGTTCAGTAGGTAGCATATACCGCGATTATGAACGTTAAACCTCTTTTACCCACGCGTGTACTAATTTGTTTGGTAGTCAAATGAAACAACTGAAAAAACTTGGCTAAAATTCAAAAATTTACATCGGACAAGTGTTTAACCTCTGAATAATCAATAACCGGATTGTATTTGTGACATCAAACGGAACCACTGCGGCTCAGTTGAAAACTTTCCCAATCGAAATCTCTTAAAATCTCTGCGCCTTTTGCTCTGCTCACCACCGGTCAACTAGAGGATCATATACGGGTCGTGTTAACAAGAGCACCTGGAAAGCGTGCAAGGTATTAAAGCTAGACAAACTCATCGAATGAACTGAGAATTGTGTAGATTCTAATCGAGAAACTCATTTCGTTTTTTTACCAGTCGTCTGGCGGCAGTCCCCAAGTAAGTTGTTATCACTATCATTGTTACCTTTGCCTGTGAGTGGTGCTGAACCGAGGTGAACTGATATTATTTGCCGTTCACCAGCCACGGAATGTGTGCCAGCTCAAATCAACGCCAAAATAGTTGTGCATGTACCGCGATCAATGAATGATGCCTCTGAGATCAGCTTATAAATAACTTCCATTGATTTACTGAGAGGAGGAGACGGAGGATTGAACACTGGGCATTGGTTTAGATAGCATCATTTACAAGTATGAAAATAACGAAAATCGTGGTACCAAATTAGTTTAATGTGACCTTAAGCCAACCGGATATTTAATTCAAAATCCAATAAAACCTACTGTTGTTCTGTTTGAAATGTGCTCTGTGGAATTATTTCAACAAAACCTACTGCCTTTATTCGGTGGAGAAGAGCAAAAAGAAATTGGTCGTAAGACCATTTGAAGACTTTCAGTGGAATAACACCGAAGTGGCGATCGTACTAAAAAGACAGATGAAAAATATCTGTTTCGGTGTATTGTTTGATTCCGGTGAAACACAGTTGCATTGGCACGGTGTCAACGCAGGTTCCTCCTGAACGCATTGGTAAACTTACGCCTCGATCAGGATGAATTCAGACCCATTGAAATTTTCGACATTTTTCAACTCGTATACGGTACGTCTATTCTCTGAACCAATGTCGGCATCGACTGACTGAATCTGACCGATACGCGTGTGACGAGGCAATCCCTCTCTGACAGCGAATGTGTAGTGACGCTGTTCAATGACCGGAGGATTGTCATTTTCATCACGAACCTGTGCCAAATTTATAAAATTTGAAAGTGCGATTATTCGAAAATCAACCAGTCTCATGGAGTAGATAAAATTAATTCAAGTTGAAAGTGAAATAACTTTTCCAACAAGCATCATTGATTGCATACGGTAGACCGACAGATTAAAGACAAACATTTTCACTGCTCTCTCTCACACAAAAGTTTCACATCTTTTGAAATCAACCAACAAAGCCACCCTTACGCGTGCGTGCGTGCGTGCTTGTGAAATGTCTTGCCTGATTCGCCTGAGTGCACAGAAGACTGTTTATTGAGCGTATCGATGTTAGCACAGGACATCGAGCTCAAAATAAGGGAGGAAAACAGACAAAATGCTGATTAAACATGCTGACAACTGTGACACCAGATTTTTGCATCTGTCCGCGACAAGAATAAAAAACATGAATTAACCGGTGGTTTGTTAAAAAAACGCTAGCACGCACGTGCGTGCTTACACGTACACACAGAATATGTTTAGATAAACGAAGCGTGGCCGTCACGCCTCTTCGAGTGACAGTGCTCTTCAATGTTGTGGAGCTAATAAATTTGCGTGAAACTGTAAAACTACAAATTGTTTCATCAGAACAGATAATTTACATTTATCATATAGTGAAGGAGTTCTTCACATTTTATCTGTCTTTGAATGGCCGCACTTATCGTAGGTTCGTTTTGTTGACGAATCTCAAAGTGTGAGATATTTAGGAAAAGTTTTGGTTGACGATGATGAGAGTTGAATGGAATCACGTTTTTTTCCACGACAAATTTTCGATCCGTCCGCACGGGAATGATTTATCTTTCAAAACAAGCAGCTAATCGTTCTGGATCTAAAATGTACAACACGCAACACGAATTCCGTCAGAGCAGTTCGCTCAATAGTCGAAATGATACTGCTAAAATGTCCCACAGATTTACCACAGTCCATATTACAAGCCATCAGTTTGGGAATAGAAGGAATTTTTAATGTGACAAGCATATAGTGAGAATTTCTCTGCGTAAAGTAGCCAAGCTTTTCTTCATAAGCATCAAATGTAACATTTTTCGTCCAACTTTGCTTCAACTCCAGTGGGATTAATCTTCTACAAATTCATTACAGAACAACTAACAAACCTGACTGGATTCTAAATTGTGATTGAATTTCTTATTCGTCACGGGCTTTGTTAGAAATTGCGCTGGTCAGCCAAAGCTTTCAACGAAGAGAATCATTGTGCGTAAAAATTGTCTTGTATTATGATAGCCCAAGTTGGATTTATGCACCCAGTTTGATGTGATACAGTTTTACCAACAATGTTTGCTCATATTATCCTGGGATAGAAGAACGGTAGTGATGGGTGTATGCGTCGATACTGTGTTGTTTGGTAAAATATCAAACTGATATAGCGACACGAAAATAGTCAATTACAAGCTTCCACAAGCTTTTAAAGTTTGCTCGTAATGCAGTTTTATCGCATAAGATATTATTGTGCCATCATTAAGAGCGATTCATTTTCAAAAGTAATACCCACCGAAGGCAAAGGTTTCAAATACACTAGCGCTATCAGATGCACTGACAAAGGAGGTTTTCAGTAGTAATACGTATAACATATCAGCGATGCCAGATAAAACACTATTTTGGAACAACGCTTAAATTGTTTGAAGCGTTCATGAAGCTCAGCTCGACAATAGCCACGTTTTACATACTACTCGAACCATAGAAACAATAATTTGTTTCCTCTCTTGTCGAAGTTGAAGACAATTGGTTATAAGAGCAAGAACGAGCATCGTCACAGGACAGGTTGAATTCAACTGTTTCACGTTATCTCTTCAGCTGTGTACAAACATTCATGTGAAAGTTCGATCAAGACAATGACAATTCTTTATACATCAAAAACACTTGACTAGGCAAAATCAGTGCGAAGGTCAAAAGAACACGTCAGAACACGTCCCGAGAAATTTAGCACTCAACGACCCCAAGATCCCCTCCAGCTCTATTACCCGCCATATATCGGACTGCAAAGTTTGCATCGATCCAAAGCAGGCATTCCGGGTGTTAAACCAGCAAAAAAAACTGGGCGGTTGCTACGGTTTGCTGAGGCCGTAGCCATTCGGCGTCACAAACCAGATCTATGCAAACAATTAGACTTTGTGGCCAGCCTAACCCTCCCATGGTAGCGCTGTCACCGTGATCCAGATCGATAAACATGTTCTCCCACCCTATCCCTCTGTTCAACCTGACTGTGACTGGTGACCTTTGACCTTCGCACTGATTTTGCCTAGTCGAGTGTTTTTGATGTTTAAAGAATTAACAAATCTACTTAGTATTACTCGTGTGTGTATATGTGTGGTTGTGTACAGTGTGTGTGATGCACGTGATTGGTTACAGCCAGGGAAGGCCAAGGGTAAAGGTCATACGTTTTGGGATGCACAGTGTGGGTTTGATATGAGCGAACGACAGTGCTTCGAGTATCCTTAGTCGGTGTAACCAATCACGTGCATCACACACACTGTACACAACCACACACACATACACGAGTAATACTAACTAGATTTGTNTCTTGTTCGATGTGATACGTACGCGACCGATGAGAGTATACGAAAGGAATTCTTCTTGCAGTGTTTGTCTTCTGACTTGCCTGTTTAAGTTCATTACGGGATCGAAATGTTTCAGTTTAAAGAATTGTCATTGTCCTGATCGAACTTTCACATGAATGTTTGTACACAGCTGAAGAGATAACGTGAAACAATTGAATTCAACCTGTCCTGTGACGATGCTCGTTCTTGCTCTTATGAAATTACTAAAGGGAACTGGATGTATGAAACTGGTTATAAGTGTGATAAAGATTGCAAAACTCAGTGAGGGTCAGCTACGTATGGCAACTTTTCTTTGTGCTAAGTGTAATATCCAACCCCCTGGATACATGTGATTCATGCGAACCTGAGAGCTTGTGCAAGCACCTTTGACAAGCCTCTGTGTTGATTACATTCCTACTCGGCCGCAGTTACCATGCCAATAATAAATCTGGTCACGTGTGCACACATGCATGTGCAGTTGGCAATCCAGGTTGACTTATCCATTTCCCCGAAAAAGATTATGGAAATTCCGTTGAGGATCATTCATCAATCGAGCTGCAGTAAAGTTTAGGATACTGCAGAATGCTTTGTTTATGTTCCCATGGAAGCTGAAAAAAATAGTTAGTAAAGAAATTACTTGTTATTTCAATTGTTCAAAAAGTCAGAACCGACGCTAACGTAAGAAAATGGTACTTGACGAGAGCACCTAGGAATCTTCAATAAGCTAGAAGATTTACCATGAAAATGTAACCGCATGATTCGATTCAATTAGAAGCCTGTATTTCAGTGTTTTACTATCAATTGTGATATTCAATAACATAACGGCATCGACTTATTTAAAAAAAGACGGCTAAAGAATTACGACATTCACACAAAACGTACTGTCACAGTAACTTTTGCCGTTGCCGTGTACCGAGAACTGAGTTGTTCGGCCTGATCAATCGCCAAGACCAAGAATCGATAGATTTGCTGTTCTTCACAGTCCAGAGCCACCCGGGTACGAATTTGACCTGTGGTTTGATCAATATAGAATTTCTCAGCATCTTCACGCGGATTGTGCAAAAATGTGTGATTAGAACTATTTGAGGATTTGGTGTTAGTCAACCTATCTGGTTGAACAGCCGTTGATCGTGTAGTGTTTATTGAATTTTTCGACTTATCAGAGTCCGATTCATCCGAATCGGATGAGCTAATTGACCAAGGCACGATTGAATAGAAAATCAGGGCGTTCATTCCACTGTCAGCATCTCTGGCGTGCACATCATTCGTGGGTGACTGACCCGGTGAAGGCAAACCGGAGTCACTAAAGCTGACAAGAGTGTTCGCTGCATTTTCCGGCACAACTCCATGATAGTGATCTTGAGTGAACACCGGTGCGTGATCATTCACATCGAGAAGAATCAGTTGTAATTGATTTTGGCTAGCCAAACTGTTTGCCATCTTGCCATCCTGACAACGCACAAGAATCAGCAGTCGAGCATTTCCTTCTCGATCTAGCTTGGTTGTCGTCAACAATTCGTAAATTTTACTTCTTTGAATTAATCGATTTGTGGTCACTTCTCGGAGAAAAAAGTTTCGCTCGGTTGATTCAACTGTACAACTAATTGACTCGAAATCACTGTCCGCGTCGGTCACGTGCACATGACAGATCAGCTGATTGTCTACGCTTGTGGACGAGTCATGCTGTTCCAAAACACTCAACCGGGCATAATCTCGATCAAGCGGTTCGCCGTGATAGTAGAAACGAATCATCGGGGGATAATCATTTACGTTTATCACACTGACGTGAACATGCGCTGTGGCCGAGAGTGGTGGCTGGCCATGATCTACAGCGATCAGATCGAAAGTGAATTCAGGTTGCTTCTCGTAATCCAACGGCTGGCTCACGCGTAATGTGACCCCGTCGTTCACCGGGACTAGTTGGATATGAGTTCTAAGAAAATCGGCTGAGACCGCGGAAGTGGCTGGCATGGTTGGATCTAAACGAGTAGGTTGCATGAAATACGATAGACGACCGTTATTGTCCACGTCGGCATCCTGCACCTTGGCATGTACCAGGGACACACCAGCCTGATTTTCTCTTATTTGGACCTGATAATCAGACTTTTCAAATGTGGGTGCGTTGTCGTTTTCATCCAAAACCTGTCGGATAAAGATGAATAAATCAGGTTTGATTTATCGCATGTCAAGCTGCACAAAGATGGAACTGATTATATGGATTCAGGACATTACATGACTGAAAAATGGCACACCAGATCAGTGGGGGAATTAATTCCAGTGTACTTTAAGGTGCGTTATTCGATCCTCCGTTGAATGAATGGCATCACGACGCAAATGATGAAACCCAACAAACTCGAAAACAGCAGTCAAATGCTACCTGGATTTTCAGTTAACGCTTTATTTGCTGTGTACACTACTAAATCCAGCATATAAACCTAATTTTAGCGCATTAATAGAAACATTTATGAGTTGATCTTTCATTGCGTACTCACACTGAAGATTTACTGGGGTGGGTTAGCTTCCAACCTAATAATCCATTTCACTCAAAGAAAATTTAGGGTAAACTTCAGTTACGTGAATTCATAGTCACTTTGTTGGCCTCAAAAATTTTCCCAATTACATCAATTCGAAATAATAATCAAGAACTGGACGCAGGACTGCATTTAATTTTGGGAAATGGAAATTTGAGTCCGATGAGGAACATTCTATGCAAGGTTTTGGTTGACTTAACAATGCATGGTGATTGGATGGTAGATGGGGATCATAAAAGGTGCGACTGGTTTCTGCACTATAAAAGGTTTCACTTAGGGTGAGCAAATTCAGTTATGAAATTGGTCGAGGGGGAGATTACTTTGCTGCTCTTTGTAGTTAAGATGAATGGATCAAGTTGAAACTGCATTTTGAGAGCACTTAAACTGTCATTAGAATATTTTTGGTTACTATTGATTACTTACTTAGTGTTATAGGGCACAAATTATGCAAATTTGTTGATCAAAAATAGGATAGAATACTGAATTAAGTACAAAAGAACTGTTTTATTGTGACTAACGTTTTAATTTATTGACGAATTCAGCCTATTAAATTGCATAAAAGATTATCGCTTTGAACAAAACCGCAACCGGAGATTAGTATAATATTATTAATATTTATTTTCAGAGAAAGTCATTCGTTGTTCGGGGAATCTATTCAGGTTAGCGGTAGACTGAGGACAACGTAAATATTATCACCTGGAACGAAAACCTGATGCAGCAGAAAATCTAAAAATATGCTCGAAAGCAACCCAGAATGGTCGCAGTGCTATTTGTGAAACAATTAGCCAAACATCCGGAGTACGGTGCATCTAGTTATCATACCAATACGAGCATTGAATCAGGAAGATGAAGAAGGGTATGCACAAAGTCTTCCGGCTATCGTACGCAAAAATATACTCCGGCCAGCAATTTGCTGTAATCTGGCTTCATGCGATGAAACTGACAAACAAGTTCGTCAGACCGAATGTTCATAAATTATAGGCAACTTATTAAAACCATCGAATCATCTTGACAGTCGTCAGCTGGAGAAACGAGATCAGACATCAGGTCAAAAATACATCCAGTTGGAGACAAAGCAGTCACGCAAATCGAAGAAGTTTGAGAAATTAAATGTTCAGCAGATTATTGCATATCCCCAACCAAGCTCATTTTGGCTCAAGTCACGTGAGGGTTTTGACTTCAAAATGTGTCTTTTTGTTGTATGTTCACGATCTATTCTACCGCATTTACGCAATCTTAAACTTCACTTGGACGGCATAACACTTGTCGTGATCAGAGCGTTTAGCTTGATCTAAATTCCTGTGAGATAAACGGCAATGCTACTCAGATTTGAAAGAGAGAAATCGAACGCAACTCAAACAAACGAGGCTCAAATTAGACTACTCAGTGTGCCACTCAGACCAATTTTATCCATGACGAGCTCACCGCAGCACAAAATGACGAAATGGCTGGTTAATATGCTAGAATCAGTCCATAAATCAGTGGTGAAGCATGCAATCAAGGACAGTTTTGAATTGGTGGATATTTTGAATAAGATCAATATAGAAGGAAAAAGCATAACTTCTTTCGATGTTCAATCCCTGTTCACTAATGTACCAGCCCGTGAGGTTATAAAAATCATCTGCGATCATGTAGAGAAGAAACAAATTCGACTGAAATTTCATGCAACCAGTTCCCTTTAACAATTTCATGAGAGCACGAAGAAGCATCATGATCACAGGATGTGGTGAATTCAACTATTTCGTGGTAATCTCATCAGCTGTGTACATTCATTCAGATCACGTTTGGTTAGAAACGAGTGACAGGTTTTGGGACAGACGAACACACGCGGGGAAGAGAAATCAATCAATACGAAGGCCAAAGGTCACTAAGAGGAGCCGGATTGAACGTTGGAGTAGGGAGCGGAATCACTGCGGGGGTGGGGGGGGAGAGGGAGGAGGACAGTGACACCTAACAGCGGGCAGCGCGAGGCTAGCCACAAATTCGGTCTGTTTACACAAATCGGGCTTGTAACGTCGAATGGCAGCCGCTTCAGCGAACCGTAATAGACGGCTACCTTTCTGACGGATCAAGACACAAAACCTGTCACTCTTTTAACCAAACGTGATCTGAATGTATGTACACAGCTGATGAGATTACCAGAAATAGTTGAGAATTCAACACATCCTGTGATCATGATGCTTCTTCTTGTTCTCATGAAATTCGACTGAGTCTACCGGTGTCCGTTCTTGAGCGTCTGTTACTGCTCTGCACAACCGACGTGCCTTTCTCTTTTCAAGGGAATGCGTACAGGCAAATCGATGGTGTCGCTATGGGCAGCCCGCTAGGCCCAGTCCTGACAGACTTGTTCATGGCACATCTGGAACAGAAAGTAACTAATATTCTGGGGTGTGCTATCCTGTACAAAAGATACATCGACGACACCCTGGTTATAAGCAAAAGCTTAGAAGAAGCTACGATAACTATGAATGAACTCAACAGACTAAATCCAAATACTCAGTTCACAATGGAATCTGAATCCAACAACACACTCTTTCCTTGATATTCTCATGACCAGAAGAGAAGACAGAACGATTGCTCGATCCGTTTATCGAGAGGAAATCTGGACAGGTCAATATTTATACTTCAAGATCTTTATGTCTGTGGACTATAAACGTGGTCTTGTTCGGACCTCATTTGACAGAACGAGGCGAATCTGCACGGAAGACAGAATTGAACAATAACTGCAAAACGCTTACCCCGAAGCGTTTATTAATGAGCATAGCAAACTGAGAATTGCGAAAGAACCGGTTGCGTCAGTTCCGAAATTGCGGGTCACATTCTACCTTCAGTTCAAAGGCGATAACGTAAGCCACCTGCTCAACAAACGAATGAGATCAGCAATCGCTCTAACCTACTATGCAGCTGACCCCCAAATTGTCTACCGGACAACCAGGATATCCACACCCTCGATAAAAGAATGTCTACCTCTACGTCAACTCTAATCTAATCTACCAATTCGAATGTGGTTGCGGAGCAACCTACGTGGGCTGAACAGAGCGACAATTACGCAATCGGGTGGTGGGACATATTGCAAAATGGGTCCAAAATCTGATGACCCAATCGAGGTTAAGTCCACCGCATAGGAACGACGGTCGAAATTACAAGACCCCATCTTCAGCGATTCCTCAACGTCTGCTGAATACGCAACACCAGATCGACCGAAACAGAGCGTTTCGGATAGTCTACAAGTCACGAGTTACAAGACTGCTAAGGTTTGCTGAAGCGATTGCTAATAATCGATGAAAGCCCCCCCCCTGTGTCAGCAAAAGGAACTTTATGTTAGTTTATCCCTACCCTGGTGATATTCGTCCTTTTACCCCTCCCCATTTTTATGTTTTGTCTGTTTTATTGTATTTTTCTTTACTTAGTTACCGTGCTAAAGCCCTATATAAACGTTGTATTTTCTGCAGTATACACCAAGTTGAGATGCAGCGAAATCGTCCTGGACATATATCTTGTAGTATTGCAGTATGGTCTTTTCTTTTGAAACTAACCTCGGGAAAGGCTTACTCCAGTTTTCAGGGAACTCCTGGAAATTCAGCTATTGATGATGAAACCAACCGCATGCTCCACCGGGACCGATATGAATAACTAAATGATCCGTAAAAGTAAAGACAAATACCTGGCAATTACAAGATACTCTCGTTAATGGATTTTGAACTCCATCTTTGAAACAGTTCGTACGATTATACTGACCAATTATTTCTATCAAATTACTTATTCCCATTCCAATAATTGGGGCATTCAGTAATGCATGTGTTACTGTGTGTCATCACTCATTATGGTGTACAAAAGAAACTGAACCGAAAGGTCTGTTCCACTTGGTGGTGATTTCACCTGAGTGTTCCCTTCCTTCCTCCGGCCATCACTCTGCCTTTCATTGCCAAGCACTCAACGCACTGCGACACACAAAGTACAAGCTTTACGTATCAAACAGAGGATATGATTCCAATGGTTGCATTTCAACCTATTTCCCCTTTTCGATCTGAAGAGAAGCATAAATTAAACTGAGAGATTTTAGGGATCAATCTTTTGCGGAAAATTTACCTTATGTTATTCTGGTTTACTAGGATTGGATGAAGTGAGTTCTGAATGCTGATACATTTATTAGGAATGCATCCCTATTCATCCCGTAGAGCAAGTTCAGTAGTATTGTACCATATTATATTGCTGATACTTCGACCGGCATCCGAGGTTACATTTCGGTCGAAGATTCTTATTAACAGTACAACAAAGTAAAAAAGGACAGGATTGGTATGACCCTAAAGCATGAATGAAGAAAGCAGCTTCCCATTTGAAAAGTCTAAATTCAAATCTTTCATTGTCTTATTTTTGTTACCAAGATCAAGGTGTTGATGATTTTCCGTAGGAATGTAATCTAACGAGGGGTGCTCGAAACCGAGGTTGAGTATTTTAGTCGAGTCGGCGGTCAGAAACATCGGGATACTCTGAGTGGGCATGGTTCTCAAGACCTTATGTCGTGGACTACCTGGCAGAATCCAAGTGAACACCACATAGTGCACATGTTTTGATAGAATTCTAAACGGTGACGATGCTCCGAAATGTTTATTTGGATAGGTAAATCAAGGTGAATACTGTGATAATGTAAGCGACAGGCTGAATATACATTTCTTCGCTCAGTTTGCTTCAGCGTATCGCAGTTCATTACTATAGTTTTGTGTATGCCTGCCATTCGGTCCGTAGTCCAGTTCCCCTCTTATACGATAAAAAACTTCTCTATCTCAGAACATTTGTGACCTTCATCTATTGTCATTGTTCTCTCACGATGGATTATTGAATTCTCTTCTTCATCCAACTGTGTCAGGTTCGCTTCTGTGCTGATTTGCTTATGTAGGGAATGGCTCCAGGAAGTTCTAATATCAACCCTTTTCCTACAATCCGTGGATCGTTCGATCAGATTTCTTTAAAAGACTGACACATGTTAATTTTTGAATCCTCATATATTTTCCAAAATAAAACAGTTGTGTCAGGGGGGCTAAAAATGAGTATTGAAGCACTTTTCTGATTTTGTGCTGCTGCTTCTAAAGAAATATCCAGTTAGATGATGAATTCGTGTAAATGAGGTGTAAGCTTAAAAGCTGGAAAGCTCTGGACAGCCGTTTGATCTGGTTGGGTCTCATCAGCTGCACGAATCCATCGACTTCCATTCGAACTTCATTCCTCTTATATAAGAAATAGTCAGGTTGTAAAGGTTTCCAACCGAGTCGTAAACCTAGAAGCTAGTGCTGAGATGAGCGGGGTCCGTTCCCCGCAACAAGCTCGCAAAGGTGAGTGGTGTTATATCGTGTATATTCGAAATGAGAAACGGTCTGACCAGCTACCCGATGTTCGAGTGGGTAATATGCCTGCGTTCTGCCCATGAGGTCCCGGGTTCGATCACCAGTTGGGTCGATGGATTCGCAATGCTGATGAGACCCAACCAGGTCGATACAGCTGTCCGGTGCTTCCCAGCTTTTCAGCTCACGCCTCATTTACACGACGAATTCATCATGTAAACAAATCAAATCCTCCATTCCTTTCGAATATCCAGTTGCTGGTCATCTGTTTCGCACGAATGATTGTCTCATGTGAAATTAGCAGTAGCCCCCTCCACATTTTATTTCATTCAAACAATGTTACCAACTGGTCTCATTTTAACCGGAAAAACCTCTGCAAATCAACACGCACATTTCAAACCACGCACAGATGAGCATACTTCAAAACCGGTGGTCACGTTGCGTTCACTTTCATGGACAGAGAAACCACGTGCATAAATTTGCGCGCGCACGCGTGTACGCACGTCCCCACGCAAGAGCGCTCTAGCGTCGCCACGTGCCACTTAAGAGGCCTAGTTGCAGCTTTGAGCGAACCAGTGGTCCGTGCACGCAGGTGCACGAAAATGGACAGAATTATGATCAATCAAAATGGGTTTCGCACACCTTGGTCAGTGCATGGCCAGTTAATCAAAGGTAATTAATGCATGCATCGATATACGGCTGTTTCGGTTGTTGGTTTTATATCGTTCTCCGTCGTGGGTGACTTTCCATTGCACACGATTACTCATCCTCAAGTTCCCCTATGCATATTGCCCGTACCTGCCCGTAGTGGATGACTCTGACCGCAAGGGAAGTTACCAGGTCGTTGATTTCGTCAATCATTTGTGACCAAGAGGGCAACATCATTAGTACAATTCGTGAAATATTCCGGAGAAAATTAAATTAATATTAGGAAACCTTAGTCATGAAGACGGAGATTTAGTTAGCAGTCCTGGAAAATAGTTTACCTAAGCAAATCTATAGACTGGAGTTGTATCTCAGGTACAAAATCATTTATTACTAAGTATAAAGTAAATCAAAACTCACTGGGGTCAGAGACAAATGTTTAATCTTTTACTTTGTTTTCAAACACCAAAGACTCCAGAGAGTAGTTCACCTAATTGTTTTCCACAAACTGAGTCACTGGTGCACACAGCAATAGGTATGCCGACTGAAAGGGGAATGGTATGGAGGTTGCTGGGCCTTTTGAAGAAAATACATTTCACAACCAACTCGAGGTTTAAATTAAAATTTCAAGGAGCGAGAATACCAGAGAACCACAAACTCGTCAGTGCACCACCGATTCGAAGAGTGCGGTTATTTTCTTTAGACCGTTTCCTATCAGGTAATTTGTTTCTATATTATGCCATTCTCGTGAAAATAATGAAAGTGGAAATTAACAAACACGTTTTCCAATAAGGGACGGAAAAAACATTCCATCGTACGGATTCAGTGCTCACTGACTAAATCATTTTCTGAAAAAATACACTGAAAATAAGAATACGATCGTTCACTTTGGACTTGGGATACCCTCGTTGTCTCATAGTTTTGCGTCGTGCTATCTCGTTCCAATTCAACAACAATTTCGATGTTTCATAAAGCAATCGGATACCAAGATACCAAATAAAGAATGCGCTTGAACTGGATTTCAGTATTGTTTTAGAAATGGGGCTTGTATTTTTACGGAATTTGCTTCTTAACAGTATGTTGGAATATTGTTGTTTTTGACGAATCACACAGAACAGGTCTTTCATTTAGTTTTGGTTATTTTCCACTCAGATGAGCGTTATTTCTGGTACACAGTTCGACCGCTTTATCCCTGGATTTGGTCAATTCAGAGATGAACTGTTCGTTCATACACAAATCAAAGGCTGCTGATTGAAAGTAGAAAATCTTAAGAGTGAAAACGTTTCGTCCGGTATTAACAGATAGAAGCGTTCCGTATTTTTTTGTGAAATTGATGCGATTTTTATCAATAAAATATTTAGTCCCGGTTCCTGAAATGAATATCAACGTTGAGCCAAGCACATACGGAAGGCATGTAACATTATCAGATAACGTTGTTCTGGCTTACTTTCATCTAAAAGCCAAAATAATCAGAATAATTGGAGCTTAGAACAATCTATTTTACGTCTGTTCTTTGAGCCAAACTTCAGCTACGATAACAAAAAACAAGATTAGAGCATCGTATTGCAATGAGTAGAGGTTGAAACTCACCACAATGCGAATGTTGACAGACGAACTGAGCTGAACCGGTATACCGAGGTCGTTAGCGACTAATCGGAATCCGAAAGAGGAAATCTTCTCCCGATCCAACGGATGAAGGATGAGCAAACCCGGACCGGTGTAATCATTCGGTTCGAAGCTTTTTGATTTTCTCTGATCGTTTATCATGAAAGGTGCCGAAGTGCTGTTTGCATGCAATCCGGCAGCACGGATATTGTTGATGAGTCTGAAATATTCTGTCCAAAGTAAGTTTTCACTCAGTGGCTCGAGAACATATCGCACAGCTCCATTTGGTCCCTCATCGTTATCGATCGCCGCTGGGATGGGAATCCAAGATCCCGGGGGAACGCTTTCGGAGATGCCTATCACATTTTTCCCTAGGATGTTAGCAAAATATGGTAAGTCATTTGTGGCACGTAGCTGAACATTAAACCTTGGGGCATTATCGTTGACATCGATGATTTGGATACGTAATACATGTGTTCCCTTTGTGGAGATTGTAATTCCAAGAAATATACAACAAGGTTGATTAATAGTTGCCATAACAACATCCGCTGGTAAATCAAAACTTTTGGAGCAACACGTACTGGCCAACTGGACACGTTCCGGTTGTAGGGCAAAACTACAGAGTTGCTCTCGATCCAATGGAACGGTCGATACCAGTTGATACCATCGCCTATTTGAGCTGGACTCATTCCGATCTTTACGGAACGGCCTAGCTTGAATCACAAAGGGGCGACTTTGTTCTGCGTCGGCAAAAAAAATCGATGTATTTAAATCCGATTCAGTCAGATGCAAGTGTTTCACCAACAAGTCTGTGAGATTTGTGGAAAACAGTGCCCCACCCGGAACAGGAAAATGGTACTCATTTACTAGTCCCGGAGGTTCGTATTTTCGTGGATTGGCCGAGTACTCTGACACTTCGATTGTCGCAAAGCTTTGACAAGCCAAATTAAACTTCATCAATGTCAGGCAAGAAAGTAAATCCAACAAGTTGATGTGGAAAAACCACCATCGGTGAAGAATGAGTGACTCCAACACATTCATAGTGTATCAGTAGGAGCTTCAAAGTAATTTGAAGTCGATATCATTGGGATTTGTAGTAGATGTCTGAAACAAGAAAAGTGTGACCAATAGCTATAAAAGTTGTTGACGGTAATAAAACGCAGAAATAAAGCAAAAGCGATCAATAATAGTACATTGGTTGAATTTGTCAATTGACTATATACTATCCAGTCTCTATATATAGTCAATCTCCTGCTATGTCGCACCCCTGAGAAGTCGCATTTTCCAATATCTTCCCACTTTTTCGAAAATCCAAACCAACCGTATGCTTAATAACTAAGTTTCTGACTAGGTTACGTCACAGTTCCTGATATGTACTCACTTTGTCGTTGACCGATGTTCGGGACTACCATTGACCATCCACCCTGAAATGTCGCACTCAACCAATGGCATTGCGCTTAGTGTGATGCATTCATGGCACTGTTCACTGATTGGATAATCCTTGCGAGGAAGTCACACCGATGCAAGGGATCGGAGACGGTGTCATTTGACGTCAAAATGTGCAAGCGCCTATCAATCAGAGAGAAGCAGAATGTGTTGGAAATGCTGAAACAGCCAGGTGTAACTCAGAACTCCACTTGGAATTTCACGAAAAACTGTCTACAATGTTGTATCCCATCGAACGACTATAAGGGAATTTTTGAACGCTGGAGCATCTGAGGAAAGATGCCACCTGAAGACCAACGAAAAGTTCAAGGCAGTGAACGAGGCAATTTTGGCTTGGTTTACCGCTATGAGAGAAAAGTACGAAGAGCTCCCAATGGTGGAGAGCATTGTACGTAAGAAGGCAATCCAGCTAGCACATACATTGCATCAGAATGACTTCAAGGCTTCCAAAGGTTGGTTTCGCTCTTGGTCAGACAGATATGGTAGTCAATCGTACAAAGTGAGAAACAAGTAATTCATTTGCATTACTTTATAGGTCTGTGGGGAAAGTTTAGCGGTACCACGTGATGCAGTGGACGAGTTTCGAGCGGGGTAACCGCAGGTGATTCATGGATATGCTGACTGTGATATTTTTAATGTAGATGAAATAGCTTTGCATTACAGGCAGCTCCCAGAAAGAACATAAGGTCTGAAAGTAAAGGCAGTTTCTGGGTTCAAGAAATCCAAAAAGAGGGTCACGTTACTGCTATGTGGGAGCATGAACGTCAGATCCGAGCGATCAATACACACCGTCGCGCGGACGCACCTGTTTAACTAAATGAAAAATACTGTCACGTGTCCTAGAGCACCGATGAAATTACACAGGTCACTTGTCAAAGGTCATCGTAACCCGGGTCTAAGGACAGTTTGTGAGATGCACTTTGAGTTTATGAATGGGTAACTGCTTGAAAGTTGCCTTAATTCCTGTAAGCTGCCGTCTATGGCCTTCGGTTGGCTGAACAGAAGTGAATTTCTTCCAAGTAAACTCCTGTCTCACGCCTATCGAAAAATTTGGGCGAGAATCAGCTTAAAAAATAGTGCGTGTATCTTAGACGAGCCAAACGTTGGCCCAGTGTCATCAGCGTCGTTCCACAATTGATTCGCTTGTGGGGATTCTTTCTAATCAGCATCCGATTCTGAACTTATCCTCCTCCTATGCCGGTCCGAAAATCACACAACCGATTGGGCTCATTTATCGATCGATAAGTCACCGCAACAAGAGACCTAACCCGAGCGAGAAACCACACCTTGTCTACAGCCGCTAGTCTTTAACAGGCCCAGTGAACTTCGGCTGTACAGCAGACGTGCATTCACCACACGAAGGGACTGCATAGGACGACAAGATCATCACAAGAAGTACAAGAGAATGTGAAACGATGTCGTAGTCGGACTACCTTTCTCTCCACATAGCAACATGACATATTATATTGATACTCGGACATCTTAAATCGAAAAAGGTATGCTTTAGGAATCATTTTAAGGCATCACTAGTTGAACTTGGTCCGAGCAAAAACGGTCATGAATGCATCAATCGGTTTGAACATGGACTGGTTACAACAAAAGCGAACTAGAAAATCATGAATAGATTGCACAGCAAACAATCAGTTTGAATGTGGGAAGGAAGTCAATGTTCTTAGTATACCCCGTAACAGGTACTTCACTCAGTGTAGATGTTATTTCCTTCTCACTGTACTCTAACTGGTTCACCTTTGTTTTCCTTGAATGTGTGAATGATGTGATTATTATAGCTAAAACAGTTGTATATTTTGGTGGACGTCATATGATCAATTCTGTGGTTAGCCTAACGTTGCAACAGAATGGAGGAATATCTGGAGTTAATATGAGATAATTGGGTCAGAAAAAGTTCCCCTGAAGAAAGTTGGTTAGTTCCGGGACAACTAGACACATAGAACTGAAAAGGGCTGAATACCACATGCAATATACCGATATAAAGCTGAG